AACCCCAGGCCAGAGAGAACACACTTCAGGAACAGTTTGGATTTCCTCCTCAATTTCCCTGTTTGTCTGAGTTCCTGGGCAGGCACGCAAATGGCGCCAGACATCCCAGTACTGGGAAGAGGATGGTGGCTGGTCTGCTCACCCCTTGACCTCTCAAAAGTCAGAGGCCAGTACTGAATTTTTCCTCTAGGGCACAGAAACTCACTCCTCAACTTTCTGCTCATGAAACCCAAGCACTTTTCCCAGCCACCCACCCACTAGCTGGCTTGGGGACATCAGCAGTCACGTCAGCTCTGATTGGCCCATAGATGGAGCGTTTGAGCTGTCATGAGGCCACTGGTGTCCTCCATGATGCTTCTCTGATTAGTGTGGCCCATTCTGAGCTCTGTATATTTACGTGAACTACCATAGTGTTTGTACCATACCGTCTGTCAGACAATTGTGTCTCAACCTCCTTGGAGTCTCAACTACCCCTCTCTCATAGTACTGGCTAAATCCTGCCTTGAAGTATGACAGGTCGTCTGGGGGTGGAAAACAATGAGGTCAAAGAGCATAGTCTGTTGGTGGGCTTTTGGGACCAAAGTGAAGCAAAGTTGGGGAGGGGAAGAAAGGGAAAGACTAAGGTTAAGTGACAGGCTAGATCAAAGCAGGCACAAGGCAGAGTCCTTGAGGGCAGGGGAGGTGTCTTACCCACCACTGTATGGCAGGACGACTGAAGAAGGATCCCATGTCCTGTCCCCTGCCCCCTGCCTCCTTTCCTGACCTCTGGACAAGGCAGCTTCAGACACCCATGTGAAAAGACCAAATAGACATGCTGCTGTGTGCCTCAGGCTCCGTACTTGCCTGGCTTTGTAACTAGTATTGAACAAATGAAAGCAGGAATGAATGAATGGCAGAGAACTGTCCCACCACAGGAAGGACCAGTGCACATATCTCTTATGCTATCACCAGCTCCCCTTGGGGCCACACCCTCCTTTCCTAGAGGCCACAGAGGCAAAGCATCTTTGTATCACAATAACTCAGGCCATTTCCTTTACCCGCAAGGATGAGGCCACTGTGGGGAGGACCTTCCCAGCCAGGCCGGGAGAACGGTGGGCAGCGGAGGGTCTGTAGTAAATGACTTCAGGTTTTGGAGTCAGTTGGGTTTGGGATGAGTCCTAACTCTTCCAATTTCTAGCTGGGTGATTTTGGGGAACTTACATAACCTTTCTGAGCCCCTGTGTCTTGATCTCTAAGGGCTGCTATGGTAATTTAATGTAAAGCACCGAGCATAGAGTAGGTGCTCTGTAAAAGTGAGTTGCTAGTCCTTTCCTAGGAAAAAGGCCGTGACTTTTAAACCCAGTCAAATATCCCAGGCCCCTTGACCACCTAGTTCCCCTATCAGCCCCGATCGACACTGCAGGCAGGGCCGTTAACGAGGCTCATGTCCAGTCTATACAAACCCAATAGTAATTCTATGAGCAGTTCTCTTTTTTCCCCTAGTTGAGTGTAAACTCCTTGAGAACAAAGCCCATTTCTGACTTCCTGCTATGTTCAATAAATATCTGTCCTTTGAATGAGTGAATGGGTGGATGACTACATAAATAAATGAATAAACAGGTAACTTGATGCTGCCTTGATCTATTTTCTGATTATTTTATCTGTCCACACTACAATCTCAGGGAGAACTGAGTTCTTCAAGGTAGTTCTTTTCTTTGTACTGGACACGCCCTGGGGCACAGAGAAAGTACATGATAAATACATGCTGAATCGAAACTTGGGAAAGATTTCATGAATTTTGTGAATGACAGCGAACAACTGGATAGGCTCCCCTTACCTTTCCACTGCTTTTGTCATTATCTGACTGTGGGGAAATAATTTTCTGTCTGGGTCTGTTTCCTCACCTATATCGTGAGGGAGTTAGACCACACGGGCTTGTTGTTTCTTGCTCAGGTATCCCAAGACTGTAAGATTAGAGTCCTAGGGAGGATCAGGTGGGAAAATGAGGTAAAATGCAGAGAGTATCCCCAAAATTCGGTGAACATAAAAAAACTGAGCAGTGACCATCTCTGCTGAGAAGGACTCAGAATGTGAAAGCTCCCTTGAAACATAATCGGGGCTTAGGGTTAACAGGTATGCTCTTTATTATTTTAAAATTAAAATAAAACCTTGAAACTTTCTTTGTAGTTTGTATGCCATAAGCTTAGGGGTTTTTCTTTGTTTATATCTTTTAAATCCACCAGAAGAAGCTTGGAGCCAAAGAGCCTCAGCATTTCCCCTTGTGGGTAGGCTGCACTGGTTGGGTTTGTAGTTTGTGGAGAGGCCTGCAGTGGGCGCCCAGCTTTGGTGAATGAACTGGCCATGGGTGGTTAAGCAGGAAGAGCCCGGATGGTGAACACACAATGCAATATATAGGTGATGTATTATAGAAATGTACACTTGAAACCTATATAATTTTACTAACCAATGTCACCCAATAAATTTAATTAAAAATAAAGAAGGCAGAACCAGGAGGCGCCAGCCAACTGACCCAGATGCTGGCAAATTTTCCCACCACAAAAAAGAAATGATAATTATGTGACATGTTAGAGGTGTTAGCTAAGGCTATGGCAGTACTCATATTACAATATATTAATGTATCAAATCAACATGTTGTATACCTTAAACGTACACAATGTTATGTATCAATTATGTCTCAATAAAAATAAGAAAACAAAAAATGAAAAAAAGAGGATGCTTTCCTTGCTGCCAGTAGCCAGAGCGTTTTGAAAATGGAAATTGATGGCTAGTCCCTCCAGAACTCCCTTTATGGGGAGGCCAGGTGGGGTACTACCCAGCCCTAGAAAAGACTGCAGGGAGAAGACATGAATATGTTAAGTAAGATCGTTTTCATAAGACCTTCCTCTCATTTATCCTCCTTGCCCACTGTATCAAAAAGGTGTCTGGAGTATGTTGAGCTGTCTTTTCTCTCATGTTAAAAGAACAGAAATAGAGAGTATCCACGTTAGAGGGTGGGTTCTGGAGTTAGACTACCTGGGTTATAACTTGGCTCCACAATTTGCTAAAGGTGTGACCTCGGACAAGTCAGTTCCTCATCTGTAAAGTATGCATTCATTCAGTCAGTGTTTATTGAGAACCCATACTGCACTACACATTGTTCTGGATGCTTGAGATACAGCAGTGAACTGAAGAGACGAAGATTCCTTCCTGGAACTTCTATTTTAGTGGGATAGGACAATAATTGTATCTAGTCACCAGGATTGTTGTATTAAATGAGTCAACGTACAAGAGTTGCTTTGTTGTCCATAGGAGCCGAGGTTAGCACAGCTCTCAAATCACCAGAGAGGGTGAAGGGTGGAATGCTTGCTTGTTTATTTTATTATTATTATTATTATTATTATCATTATTATTATTATTAATTATTATTCTTTTAACACAAGGAACTGTCTCTGGGAAAGAATTGCTGCTTAACTCATTATAGAAAATCCATATTTTTTTCTAATTACAAAAGAAATGCCTGCACACAATCAAACAGTATAGAAATGAATGGCTTGGCAAGCAAAAACTCCTGAAAACCTCATGCCTCACCTGTAATCACTGTTAATGATTTGGTGTATACACAGCCAGATACTTTTTTCTTTGCATAACTTATCTTGACCGAACCATTTGTTTTCAGGAATTTTTCCAGTTATTAACTTTATTAAAAACAATCTGGTTAAGCCTAATCAAATGAATGCAGTAGAATAAAAAGACTGTGTATGTGTGAGTGTGAATGAGCAGGACACAGAGAAAGAGAGAGACAGAAGAAACGAGGCTGAATACACCATGGCACTGCCTGGGATCGCTACATCTTTTCTGGCATGGAATGACGAAGCTGGGATTTGGGGATTCCAGTCTTATACATCCTTTCTTTCCCTCAAGAAGTGCTCTGTTTCATCAACAGCAGCTCCCATGTTGGAGGAATAATCCTTCTTAAATACAACATCTTGGTGTCCTAGTTCCTTTCTGGGTAATCAGGAGGAGGAATGAAGGGCCTGTCAAAAATACCCCCAAACATTAAGGATTTGGGCTGTCTCTCTCTCTCTCTCTCTCTCTCTCTCTCTCTCTCTCTCTCTCTCTCTCTCTCTCTCCTTCCCTTCCTTCCTTCCTTTCTTTTATTCTTTTATTATTTTTATTTTTTATTTTTTTAGCTGAGCCATCCTGCCACCTGTTGGCAGGCAGCTCAGTGGCAGCTCAGCTCGGGCTGGGACTCGAACTGTTGCTCAGAGCTCAAACTCTTGAGCGAGCCCTTCCTTCCTTTTAAATTAAAGTTTATTAGGGTGACAAAGATTCAGGTTTTCTGATGGTGTCTTTCCCTAACACCAGTGCACTTTGCAGGATTTCCATGACTCTTCTTTTCATTTTCAGAAGTTCTATTTGGTTCTTTTTCAAATCTGCCTGCTATCTTCTTTCACAGTGTTGGGTACTTTCCTTATTGCTTCATTCTTATAAAAAAAAATCTCTTTCATACATTTAAGTATAGCTGCTTTATAATCTTTCTCAGAATATTCCATTTTCTGGGGTTCTAATTGTTCTATTAGTTGCATATCTGATTTTCCCACATTATGAATTGTCTTCCTGTGGATTGTTGTAAATCGTGAATTTATTTTCATTGGGGAATTGCTTTTCCCTTCAAGGAATTCCACACAGCATGGGTTGTGGGAATACCCCTACAGGGAAGTTTTACTTTTCCTTCTGCCGGGTTCTCCAGCTGCACCACGGGGAGAGGACAAGATTTTATACTCCTTTCTTAACTTGGGAATTTTTGCACTGTGTGTATATTGCAAATGTGGACTCTAACTTTACATGTGGTAAAGGCTTGGTGTTTTGGTTTCTTTCAACAGACATTCCCTCCACTCCACGCTTTTAGTCATTTTGCTAAGTTGGCTAGAAGAGCCTAGTTCTTCTTCATGGGTGCCACAGCCACTTGTGGCTTCCATTTTCTTCAGGACTCTCAGTTCCAATGTCCTGCCTTGTTGTAGGCCTCAACACCAGACCCTGCCTGAATGCAGACCCATTTCCAAGCCTGAACGATGAGAAGGAAACAGCTATGAAAATGGAAGGACATTCAAAGTCGGGGAAACTGCAAACATGAAGGTTCTGTGGCTCTATCAAACACGACAACAAACAGCAAGAAAGCCAAGTGGCTGGAGCCGAGGGAGCAAGGGAGAGGGCGGGAGGAGATGAAGTTATCCAAGGCTTCCTTCCAGCTCGGAGCAAAGTGCTGAGTGTGCCGCCTCTTTATTAAGGCAGTATCGGTGGGTTGATCTTGGGGGTGATTTAATGCTTTTCTATCCTTGGACAAGTTTCTGTTTTTTATTTCTGTGTTGAGAAATGTGTCACACAAAAAGATGTTCAGTTACGCAAGGGAGCAATGCTCTCTGAGTGGTGGGTCTGTAAGGTCCAAACAACATTCAGCCGAAACAACTGCAGAAAATATGAGATCTCACCCCCACATGTACACACACATATACACAATGCTTCTTTACCTGGGGTGAGGCGGGAGCAAAGTTAAAGTGATTATATGTAGGGGTGGAGACCAAGCATTTACTAACTGCACATCCTGGGGATCTGAAAATAGAGATGGATCACACCCAGTGCTTCCAGGGCGGTTTCCCCTCTGCACCCGCCCCCCCACCCCTTAAGATCAGCGTTGGGGAGGAACTGGGGAAGAGAGGGAAAGTACAATAGTAATAGTATTGGAATGGAGGGGATGGATGAATAGGAGACTATGGAAGGAAGTGACGGATATAATAGTGGATACTTTAACTCAAGCATGAATGCATGAATGGGGACACCACTACCTAAAGGAAAGTGGCTTTGGAAATTGCCTAAATTAATAATAATAATAATAATAATAATAATAATAATAATAATAGCAAACATTATTGAAATTTTCCTATTATCAGATATAATGTTAAACATTTTACATGGATTATCTCAGTTATCCATTCTAAGCACTCTACAAGTTAAAAATGCATGTTAGAATTGCGGAATTGAAGCACGGACAGATTAAGTAGCTTGTTAATATGTGGCAGGAGAGAGGTTCAAGCTCGGGCAGTCTTAACTGTACAGTTTGTGCTTTTAACAATCATTGTTAGTGGGTGAGGTCTTAATACGGTCCCCTTTCTTAGACGAGGTACTTAATACTTTATAACTTCAGTTTTCTCATCTCTTAAAATGAAGCTAATAACAGTACTTACCTGAGTGTTGCCGTGAGAATTAAATGAATTAATATTGTATTAAGTGCTTATGTCAGCATCTGCACATAGTAAGCAATTAAGTAAATAAGAGTTGTTATTACTATTATTATTAACCCATTGAGGAAAATCAGAAAAAGAAAAAAAACAAAAAACTTCTACTCCTTCATCTTCTCTACTATAATCTGACTTTCAGGTCTGGGCATGATTTTGTTCGTATTCTAATACCAGGTGATAAAAATCAGTCTGCTGAGGGAAAATGAAAAGGAAACAGCCATCTGGCATCACTGAATCCATCTCCCTAGCCAGTGAACTTCCTCCATCACAGTTCGAAGGTTAGACCTTAACTAATGAGCTGCACGCTGTCTCAGTTGTTCAGTCTGCTTGGCCATGATGGACGTGCATAGGTCCTAAACAGGTAAGTGCTGGTTTGCAGTTTGTTACAGCCTTCCGGCACTTTCTGTGGCCCAGGACAGGTTCCCTGCAGGCATGAGAGGCTGTCATCATGCAACATTCAGCTCCTATTCTGCTGGGAATGTGTAGAAGCTGTATGCTCAACAATTAACCATGCCAGGCTGAGACTGGAAATTATCCTGCTTCTTCAGAGGCCAGACAAGCTAGGATGAGTCCCTGAGTTCCTTCTTCTGAGCTTCTTCAGGTGTGGTCAAATTCATGACCTTCAGTCCATTCTAATTGATAGCTAGCCTGGCGAAGGCTTTCAATCCGTCAACCAACTAATCTATCACCCAACTCCCACCCTCACCATTAACCATGGGTCCACCATGAATAAAGTCATGCTTTCTGCCCCCCAGGAACTACCAGTCAGGTGAAGACGTTACAGAGTCATAGGGCCTGAGGAAGGAACGATCCACAAAGTCCATACTCCAGTCACATGATACCTGAACCCCTCTACAGCAGTTCAGGCACACCTTTGCCTAAT